GCTTTAATAAGTAAAATTATCCCAGCTACAAAGACAGACAACAAATATTACATTTATAGTATTACAACTAAAACCGTTTTTGACGCCGCCACCGCAGTTTGTCCTTCATGAGCCTTCGTAGACAAGATGGCGGTGCAAGATGGCGGTGCAAGATGGCGGCTGCCTGTGTGGCGACCCGCGACCATGGAGATATGAGCAGCTTTTTATAAGGTAAAAATAGACATGTTTTTTATTATTGTCATTAGTGATTATCTCAATTTCGGCTAAAAGAATTGACAAAATCCTACACACTGTGCCTTTAAATATGAATACCAAACAAAGCTTCTCCTGAGGAAGTCGTGATGCTTTAAATGTTGGATAAATTCTAGTTTCATCTTCTAATGAAAACTTTTTTAGAGCCGTTTTATGAAGTGCGGAAGCAATAATGTCAGAGGCCTTTTGAAAATGGTGAAAAATGCAGCGGACATTTTTGCTTCTGAGTAAAGAAGTTTCTGTCTACATTACGTTGCTGCAAAGATGGAAATGAATCTACAAGAGTTTGTGTAAAGATCAATGACCGCCCATTATAGGGAAGCTTTTCACTGAACTGCTGAGGAGGCAGCTGCTGACCAGAGGAGGACAAACACAGATCTGTAACAGATGGTAGATTCCAAACACAGACCAATGTGTTTTATGTCTTTTTCTCATCAGTCTCCTTTCTTTGAATAATACGATGGGATTATCGCTGCAGTCTCGCATTTAGCTCAAATTAAATGTTTTAAATCTCTTACCATCTGGAAAATGATATATTTTCACAGTTTCTTTTGTCTGCTCTGTCAGATGTTGGGTACACAGATTTTTTTAAATTTGTTATCTTCACTTGTTTTGTTATAGTTGGTGCGTGACAATGCAGATCTTCGCTGTGAGCTTCCAAAACTAGAGAAACGCCTCCGCTCTACAGCTGAGCGGGTGAAGGCGCTGGAGGGTGCGCTGAAGGAGGCGAAGGAAGGAGCCATAAAGGACAGACAACAATACCAACAGGAGGTGGAGCGGATCAAAGATGTCATGATGAGGGCTCGCAACCCCTTTCGCCGGCCCCACGCCGCGCAGATAGGTGACGGAGACTGCTGATTGGTTGGAAGAATAACCTCTGCTGCTGGGATGTGTCTTTCTGTGGGGTGGCTGCTCGTTCCCTTTAAAATAATTCCTTTAATTAATTTTCTTACTTTAAAGAAGTAAAGCTTTAGAAATTGAAACAGGCGTATAATTAAAAAGGTCTCTAGATGATTTTTTGTTTTTGTCAAGTGTTTATACATCAAACTGAATAGGCTCTGATTGGATGTGGTCGTGTGTTAAACTCAAAAGCACAAGAAAGGAAATGTCGAATCAAGACAAAAATGACAACAATTAGAGTTTTCACTTTTGTCTTGATTTGACATTTTGTGCTCAGAAGTCATCATTTGCATGGATGTCATATTAGTTTTGAGGTTTTAATACATTTTAAACCATTATTTTTCCAAGGTGGGATAATTATACAACTTCCATGATTTTTAAAAATAAGAACCGTGTCAAAATTTACTATAGATTTTCTGCTTGGTGGATTATTTCTAAACATCCTGAACAATTTCTTTTCACGTGAAAGATGAGGATTAGTCAGTTTATTTAATGTTGCCAAACCAATTTTTTTTACTAGCAAAGAGAAATTGCCAGCTGTGTTCTGTCATGATCACAAACGAGAAGTTATTTATCTTTATTATAAAACGTGTTGTTATGTGCCAGCTGAAGCACAAACAGGAACCCAAACATTTTTTAGCAGATAAAGCCACACACAACTTTTCAGTCGGACCCAAAAAAAAAAAATTTAATTATTTTCTCTGGACGGGTTCTTTAATGAAATGTTTCATCTCTCCTCCAAGAGACTTCTTCAGTCTGAGGAGTTTCAGGTGAACTCAGCCTCCACATGGTGGACAAACAGGTTTAACGAATATCAACACTGTTTGTTCACATGCAAAAGAGGACCTGACAATAAATTGTTAGTGCCCTGATTATCTCTTTTGTTCACAGGGGCAGAGACATAATTGTAATAAAATGATTGTAAGAGAGAGACAACTTGACATGGAGACCTCCACCTCTGTTTAATGATGGACAGTTTTTCTTAACAAAAATAGCTTTCTACGCAGCTCTTAAATCAACGTTCCTCTATCAAGGATAAAAACACTGTTAGCCCTGAAAGAGTGACCGCTGGCCTGTAGATGAGTGTAAACTGCTGAGTCCTGGCCTGTAGATGAGTGTAAACTGCTGAGTCCTGGCCTGTGGATTAGTGTAAACTGCTGAGTCCTGGTCTGTAGATGAGTGTAAACTGCAGAGTCCTGGCCTGTAGATGAGTGTAAACTG